ATAAACTAATAACTTTTTATAAACTATAGTTTAAAAATAAACTTAACCTTAATTATTTATAAATTATAAATAGTTATAAATAGTAAAAAACCTTTTATTATATTCTAAGAATAGTTCTTAAAACTACTTTATATATTTTAATTAAATATAAAAGCTAAACTAATTATATTATTTTAAATACTAATAAGCCTAATAAACTAATAGTTACTAATAATATTATCTTTTAAGAATAGCTTAATTAGCTATTTAAAGATTTTAAATATAACCTTTTTTAGTTATAATAAAATAACTTTATTTTAAACTATAAAAGTAAAACTATATACTACTTTTTAGGTTAATAAGTAATTAGTAAGAAATAAGAATATATAGAAATTACTTTAATTATTTATAATTTACTAACTAATAAAAGCTTTATAATAAAATATTATAATATACTTATTATCTTAACTATAAAGCCTAAATAAATAATATTTTTTATATTTTCTATATTAATAATATTAAAATTTACTTATAAAAATAATAATATTTATAACTTAGTTAATAATAATAACTTTATTAGCTATTTATATATACTAAATAATAATAAACTTAAATTAATATTATTAAATATTTAATTAACTTTATATTTTATTTTTATTATTAATATTAATAAAATACTATTTAACTTTTTTAAAATACTTTTATTTTTAACTTTAAGTAATACTATTAAATAAAAAAGACTTATAATATAAATTAAAATTCTAATTAAATTAATTTTAATATTTTAAAACTATTAATATATATTTTATTTTAATCTTAATAATATATTAAATCTTACTATATTTAATAACCTTATTTATAATAAAGAGTTTATAATATATAAATAAGCTATTCTTTATCTTAACTTATAAAAATAAAAAAGCTTAATAATAAATAAGTATAATTTTTTAATTTAAAATTATATTATAATTATAATTAATAAACTTAAAAATAAAACTATTCTTTTAAATAAATAAATATATAAACTTAAGAAAGATATTAATAATAAAATTATTTATTAAAAATCTTAATATATAATAAAAGGTTTTAATTAATATAAAAAACTTAATTATTATAAAATATTTATAAATATATTAAAAATTTTAATATTATATTTATTATTAATAATTATAATTATTTTAAACTTTAAAGTTAAGTAAATAAATATTAAGATTATCTTTTTTTATAATTTTATAAATATTAAAGTTTATATTAAAATACCTAAAGAATATTAAAAAGAATATCTTAAGAAAGTATAGAAATTACTAAAGTCTTTATATAAGCTAAAATAAGCTTTATAGATTTAATATATAACCTTTTATAAAATACTTTAAAGTCTTAGCTTTAAACCTATATAGCTTAATTATTCTTTATTTATTTATAAAAATAACTTAATTATTATAATTTATATTAATAATCTTTTTATTATTAATAAAAATAAGATTATTATTATAAAGATTAAAAAAGCCTTATTAAATACCTATAAGATAATAAATATAAGTCTTATTAGCTATTATCTTAATATTAATATTTATTAAAATTAATATATAAAAACCTTTATACTTTTTTAAAGTAAATATATTAAAGCTTTATTAAAAAAAGCTAGCCTTTTTAACTATAAACTTTATAACTTATTAATAGGTTTTACTATTAAAAGTATTAAATAATAGTTAACTATTAAGAATAACTAGTATATTAAGACTTATAAAAGCTTAATTTATTTTTTTAACTACTTTAGGCTTAATATCTACTTTACTATTAGCTATTACTATAGATTTATAACTATCTTATTAATAAAATATATTATTAGCTTAAAATAGCTTTTATAATATATTAAAGATATTATTAACTATAAACTTATTTTTATAAAACCTAATAAAAAACCTTAAGTTTATTATAATATTAATTATATTAACTATTAATAAATATATAAATCTATTAATAGCTTTATTATTATCTTAAAAAATAGTATTATATTTTAATACTTAAAGTTATAGAATATTATTATATACTTAATTATTAAAATAAAGTATATTTCTTAATATAATATAGCCTAAAAAGCTATCTAGATTTAATAACTTTACTATATTATTATAAAAACCTTTAGTTAAAAGCCTATCTATATTAAGACTACTATTTAGGCTAATAACTTTAATACTATTACCTAAACCTTTAATATTTAAGAATACCTTTATATAAAGTATATAAATATTTAATACTATTAATTATATAATAAGAATATACTATATTAATTAAGCTTTAGTTAAATCCTAAGTATTAAGAATACTATTAATATTATAACTAAGCTACTACTAAAGCTAGCTTTTTATAAGTATAAATACTACCTAGGACTATACTAAGTACCTTTTAAGCTATAATTTTCTAGAGGTCTATTCTATAAGTACTATACCCTTAAGGCCTATAGTCTTTAAGGTATTACCCTCTAAAGGCATTATAGTAAGCTTTCTATTAGTACTATATCTCTAGGGTATTACCCTCTAAAGGCTAATAAGCTTTCTATTAGTACTATACCTTTAGGGTATTATCCTCTAAAGGCATTATAGTAAGCCCTTTATAGTAATAAGTTATAAGGCTCTATAGGTCTTATAGTTGCTAAGGCTTTTCTATAGCCTACTACTATTCTATTACTCTTAAGACTATTATAGTACTAGCATTATGCCTTTAGGGTATTACCCTCTAAAGGTACTATAGTAGCCTTCTATAGTAATAAGCTATAAGGCTCTATAGGTCTTATAGCTACTAAAGCTCCCTTATAGTATACTACTATTCTATTACTCTTAGGACTATTATAGTTAACTAGTATTATACCTTTAGGGTATTACCCTCTAAAGGTATTATAGTAGCCTTTTATAGTAGTAAGTTATAAGGCTTTATAGGTCTTATAGCTACTAAGGCTTCCCTATAGCTATAATCTTATAAAAGCCTAAGCCTTTATAAGTCTACTATTATTTTATTACTCTTAAGGCTATTATAGTTAATTAGTATATATAGTACTATACTTAATATCTAGTATACCTTAACTAGTAATTCTTTATATATTCTATAGGCTTTAGAATAAGGTGTCTTTATTAAATATAGTTTATAGTATAACTTTTATTTTCTATAAAATTTATTTATATAGGTTTTTAAGTTAAATTACCTTATAAGTAAAAAATAGAAAATATAGTAATTATAAAGCCCTCTATATAGTAGTAAGGCTCTTTATATAGTAGTAAGCTACCCTATACTTAGAAGAAAAAGGTAACTTAAGTATACTAATAAGTACTATTATACCTATTAGTAAGTAGAAGAATTAGGCTACTATTATAGTATACTATAATAGCTATAGTAGTTACTACTTTTCTTTATAGTTATTATTTTATTCTATTATTTATTTTTCTAGTTATTTTTCTTAGTTAATATAGATTAAATAGGAGTAATAATAAGTAGCTTTAAAGCTAGAAGAATAATCTCCTATTACCTAGTATATCTAGTACTTACCTATACTATATAACTAGATAGAAGATATATAATATAATAACCTTACCTCTTACCCTATATATACTCTATTAGTATTAATAAATATATCTATATTAGAAATACTAGTATTTCTCTAATATCTCTATATATTAGTCTTAGTATAGTATATTCTTATATTCTTATCTACCTAGCTTACTTCTTTCTCTTATTCTTTAGACCTAGATAAATATTTTAATAAAAAGGTTTAAAGGCTTAGTTAGTATTATAGTTCTTAGGTAGCTAATATATTATAGTATTATCTTATACTATTATATTAGGTATATATATAACTAAGTATAATATTACTCTTTCCTTTTTATAGTAATTTTACTAAGTTTTATTATAATTATCTTATATATATTATAATTTCCTACCTATATATAAATAAATTTATAACCTTATAATATTATTATAAAAAGAGAGGTATTATTATATATAACCCTATATATTCTAGTAAATTATATAAATAGGCTAATAAGAATATTAAATACCTAGTTATAACTAAAAGTAATTTTATATAGTAGAGTTAAAGAATAATATATATTAAAAGTTATAGCTATTTTTACTTTATTCTTTTTTAATTTAAAAAAATAAATTTCTTTTTTATTAAATACATTTTTTAACTTAACTAATTAATTTAATTATATTTTTTTAATATATTTATTTATTAATTAATTTTATTTATTTATTTATTAAACTATATTAATTAGACTTTATAGTCTTTTTAATATCTTTATTAACTTATAAAGACTAGAAAAATTATAATATAACTATTACTAGTTTATATCTAAATAAAAACTATATTTTTAATATCCTATTATTATATAATATCCTATTATTATATAATAATTCCTATAAATATTAATTATATAGACCCTTGAACGCTAACAAACGACTATACTATGTATCGACGCCATAAGGCCTAAAAAACGTCTACACGCACGGTCGACCCTAGGGCCTGCTCGGCAAGCGTCGCGTGTAGTGGCGACGTTCAGGGTGACGTCCCAGCGGAGTATCGTGCTCTCCCCAGTCAGCATCTATAATATGCACAGGCTGTTGTACAGGGTGGGCTATTTCGTATTGGCCATGGTTGTATGTTGGTGTTGAGCAAGTGTATTGTCTAGAGCAAGCTTTCCTGTTTTGTCTATCCTACATAATGGGTGTCCTCTTCTCTAGGACCCTCTAAATGCCTTATTGTCTAACTATGCTGGGCCGCCTCTCTCAGTCTTATGCCTGTTGTCGAAATGCAGATGTAAACGCCAAATGTTCTCTAAATATGCCAGGGCCGCCTCTCACGGTCTCATGCCCAATACCCTAACTGGAATCGCAAAAAATCATTCGTGTACATAGCAAGTATCATCGTCTCGGTCCTCTCGTCCTGTTGTTTGTGAGCAAATGCAGAAATGAAAACACATGAAGCAAAATAGTCGCGCCCGGATCCGCCCTCTCCCCATCGCTCGTCCTTATAGTTTCTTTTGGATGGCGTCCATCCTCTTGCGCTTGGCGGCTGGCGACTCCTTGGGTTCTTTCTGGGAGAATCTAGGAGTGCTTGACGAGCCCGCTCCGAGCGCTCCGGCTCCGCGAGCTTTCTTCGGCTTCGACGGAGTGGTCGCCGTCGCATCGCTGGCTGGTCGCTTGCCGTTTTCGTTGGTAGCGTTACCCGGATTAGGCGCTGCGGGCTGCTTTGGTCGTCGGGCTACCTCTGATGCTGGTTTGTTGACTTTCGGGGCGGCTGCCTTCTGGGCTCGTTTGGCGGCCTCCTGCTGACGGAACCATGCCTCGCCATCGCTGATCTGCTCCTCTTCAACTGCAGTGGTCGGCCGTTTCGAAGCAGCTGTGCGCGGCTGTGCCGAAGTAGCCGGTGCCTTTCCCTTGCCCTTGTCCACCTTCGGCTTGTCGGCCTTGGACTTGCGGCGCTTCGTCTTGGATTTGCGTAGAGGCGTGTCGCCGGGGTCGTCGCTGTCGGCAATCTCGATGACCTTGTCGCCCCCGGCTGTATCCTCGTCCTCAGAGGTACTGTCGCCGTCGGCGTCGGCGCCCTGCTTCTCGTCCTTGGGGATAAAGTAACCGCATTGCACGCCACCCTCGACCTCCTCGCCCACGCCTAGGAGAGTTTCGATGGTTAGCTCCATGCCGGGCTTCTAGCACTTGGCGTATTCTTTAAGCATATCCCACTCGATGCACTCGGCCACGCCCGCGTGGTTCGGGTTCGTGATAAACTGGGCGACGGCGGAGTACCACAGGCCTTCCTTCTGGGTTTCGGGGTGGTCCATCTTGTCCCACGGCACGCGCGCCAGTGGGTAGAGGTTGAACGGCTGGCCGAGCATCACGCGCAGCTGTTCGAACGCGCACAGGGTTGCGATCTCTCCAGTGATGCCGGGCCCAAAGTTGGACTCGGTGGTGGAGATCATGGCGTACTTCTCCGCGGCTCTGCTTCTAAAGTAGCCCTCTGCAGACCCTTCCGTGTACAGCAGCAGCCATTTGGTGGGGTGCTTCTGTCCAATGCGCCAGATGCGCCCGATGGCCTGGAGGAGGACGCCTATGTTCACTGGATCCTCGAAGATGATGCCGCGGTGGCAGAAGTGGTGGAAGTTGACGCCGAATGCGTTGAGGTTGAGCGAGTTGACCAGCACCGTCGCGGTCGAGTCCGCGCTGTTGAAGTCGTCGATCGTCTGCTGACGCTGCGCGGGGCTGTGTCTGCTGCGGATGTTGGGAGCACGGATGCCGATGAAGTTCAGCAGGTTACATACGACCCTACTCGTGTTAGTATAGCCGGTGTGGAGGGGTCGGCCGCTGCGAAACAGCCGTTGTGTGTCGGGTGGCCTGGGCTGTTTCGCAGCGGCCGGGGTGTGTTACTTACGCGCATGCTAGGGGGGTGACTCCGTACGCGATGATGCGCTCACCTACCTCCTGGGCCTGCAGTGCCTCGAGGAGGATGACCGCCAGCTTAGGCGAGTCGTAGCAGAAGAAGCGCACCATGGCGAGGCGCGATTCCGGGGCCGCGTACTGCGGGCCTGCTCGCATAGCGTAGAAGGCCCATAGGAGTCCTCTTGAGACGTGGTGTGTAAACTGCTCATTGACGTCCTGAACACCGGCCGGGGCTCTCGCCGCCTGCACGATTGGCCTGATGTCCTCTACCGTGGTGCTTACCAATTCGGCGTACTCTTCTTCGTCGACGTCGAAGGGTGTCTCCTCTAGGCCTTTCAGCCTCTTCTCTCCGGTAGTCTCTGGCGGGTTGTGGCGGGTGTTGGGGGGGCGCGACATGTTGCTGAGGAGGTCGAACCTGACGCTGAGCTTGTCTCCTTTGCTGGCCGCTCCGGCGTCGCTTAGGATGTGGCATGCGCGGGCGGATGGGTTCGTCATTTTGTGGAAGTCAGGGTGAAACGACGTCAGTCCGGCGACGCGAGCCTTGCCTCCGTGCAGCATTGCGCCGCCCGAGTCAATCGTTATGCCCTTTCCGACCGTTGTCTTCTTTCCTGGCAACCCGGTGAAGAGCGTTCGCATATCGGTGCCGATCAGATGCTGAATCTTCGCCTGGTTCTCGTTGCGGTGTCGTAGGTGCACCGTCTCGACGGTGAGCGGCGCGATAGAGCCGCCGGGGATCATCGTCTGCGTTTCCCCGTTGCCGCACGGGACGACCATCGGCGTCACCATGGTTCGTCGGCTGCAGATCAGGGCGAAGATGGGCTTCACGGCCTGGGTGGCGACCTCTACGTCCCAGTCCCGCGACCGCCCCAGCTCCAGGAACAGACCGGGGTTTAGGATGTGCATGGGAATCTTCTTGTTGGTGACGGCGTCCTCGTACTCGCGACGATGCTGCTCCTCTCGCTTAGTGAACTCGTGCTCCTCCGTGTCGTTCTTGCTGTCGTGCTCTAGCAGACGCTGCATGGTATACGGCGCTTCTGGCGGGGGGGTGCCGGAGACGATGGCGTCGAACACGTCCGGTTCGTAGAACGCTGCGGCGGGGGTCTCGGCACTGCTGCTGTAGTTAAATTGCCACTCGTTCCTCCATGACAGGCACAGATAGCCCAGGATGTCTCGGAGTCCGTTCATCATCGGCGTCGCCGTCATGAAGAGGATGAACTCGTACTTAAGGCGCGATATCATAAGGTGGGTGAGGGACTTGGGGTTCTTCAGGAAATGAGCCTCGTCGCATATGAGCCAGAACACCTCGAAGTTTTCGTAGCAAAGCTCGACATATGACATTTCTGTCGCGAAGGCGTCCTTGCCAGTGTCTTCTTCGGCCTCCCTCTTGCCCTTATTCTTGTTTGCTGGGGGCGGGGGGGGCTGGGTGTCGACGTCCATCGCGTCCGTGCCGTCTGGGGTGGACTTCGGAACCGTCGTCTCTGCTTCTGCGCGCTTGGCGGCGGCTCGCTCTGCACGCTTGTCTTTCGCATTCCTCTTCTCCTTATCAAGACCAGCGTTCCCAATGTCTGCCTGCATGCGTTCTTCTTCGTCGTTGTTAAGCTGCGAGACAACATAGTTCTTCACCATCCGCTTGGTCGCTGTCGTGTAGGGTATAACAATGATCGAGCGTTGGTACTGTCGTGCGTCAGTAAGGGTTGGCTGTTTCGAAATGGCCGGCCGTCTGCTTACCTCTTCCAGGTGCTGGTTTTCCATCATATGGGCCTGTAGGTCCCATAACTCGTCGGCGTTGATAAGATGTTTGGCCTTGCCGACCGCGCGCTTATTCTTCTTGCTCCCGTAGGCCGCGTATACCTTCACGTTGTGGGGGCACCACTTGTGAAGGTCGTCGACGGCCTGTTTGGCCGTCATCGATGGAAGGAAAAGCATCGTTGGTCGGTATCTGCGCTCGCGCTGAGGCTTTTGGATCTCGCGATCAATCCTTTCATATACCGCTTGCAACCATGCGATGATCATGGTGAGAGTTTTACCAACTCCGCAGTCGTTGGCAAGCAGTGCAGCTCGCATAGCGCTGTTGAATTGGCTCAGGATGAAGGCCGCGTCTGTGTTGTGCCTGTGTTAGTTGTGCGCGTGGAGGGGTCGGCTGCTGCGCAATAGCCATGGCGGCTGTTGCGCAGCAGCCGGGGGTCTGACGTACCGTGTATCTGGTGCGGCTTCGGTCTCGGCGAGCCGTCCTTGGCCAGGGTGAAGATCGGGTTGCTCAGGTCGTCCCGGCCGGCGGCGGAGTCGGACACGCAGCCCATTCTTTCGAACGAGGCCGCGTACTCTTCCGCCGTCGTGACGGTGGTTCTTTGCTGATCGATGTCGCGGAGGATTTTCATCGGTCCGCCGTCCTTCTCTCCCGCCGGCGCCTTATCTCCCATGACCTTGCGGGCCTCGGCGATGATCTCTTCGGCGTGCGCCTGGGCAGTGCTGGCCATGAGCTGATGGGAGCGGGTCGTTTCCAGGATGCTGTCGTTCATCGGTGTGGCGCCCTCGTACTTCTGCACGTTGGCCATCGGGATCAGCGCGTCCCTGAGGACCTGGCGCTCGTCGGGTTCCAGGGGGGGGACGTGGACGGCTCCGCGGCCGTGGTTGTCCGGGTTGTCCCAGGTCTCCCCGGCCATCAACTTTTCCGCCATGGCCTCATTGATCATTGTGTTCAGCTCGCCGTCGGGGTCTCGCAGCTCGCCGTCCACGAATAGACGGCTCACCCTGCTGGCCGGCAGACTACGGAAGTAGCCCATGATGTCGCGCTGCGTCGTGAGCGCTTGCAGGTCGTTTTCGTCCGGGTTCGCGAGGGCTGGGTGGGCCTTCAGGAACAGCTCCTCCAGCATGGCGTTGTGCTCGACGCGCTTGGCGATCATGTCGGCCGGGTCCAGGCTGTACACGTCCCCCAGCTTGTCTTCGGTGAAGTAGCCTAGCGTGAAGGCCCTGCTGCTCGAGGCGTCGCCGAAGGCCTTGTTGGCGTCCTTGGTGTTGTGGACGGAGTGCTTCGGTTGGGCCTGCTTGCGACGGGCGATGTAGGCCAGGATGGCCAGGAAGGCGACGCTCCACGAGTTGGGGTGGATGTCGAGGAAGGAGTGCTTGCTCGGCAGGTCTCTGTCTGGGAAGCGCGAGGGGTATTGTGTGATCAGGCGGTAGCACAGTACAAACACCGTGCGGTCCACGTCGATGACAGGGTTTTGGACTGCGGTGTATTTGATGCGGTACAAAATCTCCGCGGGGAAGTTTTCAAGGCAGATGTATGCGGAGGACGCCGACAGCATTTTCAGCATGCCGGCTCCGTATGCGTCTTTGGATCCTCCTCCCACCTCGTCGACCCACTTCTTCGCGGTGTTCCACATGCTCTCCCATTTTAGGACAGGCGGGGTGGTGGCTGTGGCCGAGCAGAAGTATACGCGTAGCGGATACATGAACACGGATACTGCGGCCAGGTTAGCATGGCGTCCGTGAGGGGTTGGCTGTGGCGAAATAGCCGGCTGCCGTGGTCTCACTTACGGTCGCGGTCCAGGAACGTGAAGAGCTGGTTGGTGTTGGCGAATCCGAGGGCTCCGGCGAGCAGGCACGGGGTGTTCTCCGTCTTGTTCTTGAGCACTATGGTCACGTTCGGGTGGACGGCAGGCGTCATGTACGACTGTAGCGGGACCGTCTTCTTGCCGCTCTCGTTGCTCGACTTGATTGCCCTGATGGCTTGGAGGGACTTCATCCTCTCGGCCTCGTAGACGGTCTCGGGACCCCAGATAGGATATATTTGCATTTCGTAGTCGATGCCGCTGAAGCCAACCTTGACGGCGTGGAACTTCTCCCAGTTGTCGTGCGTCAGGTTCTCGCCGGTCGTCGTCTTGGTCTTCTTCCTACCACCAGGCCCGCTCACGACTTTGTAGAACTCTGAAGAGGGTATGAGCGATCTCCTGGGTACGGGTCGTAGCGGGATGTTGCTGCCCTTTACCGTGTAGGTGGCCAGCCGGTGCTGCGGGTGGACGAGGAGGTGGTTCTCGTCCTCCACGACCGCGTCGAAGTCTACGCCTGCCACGAGGCCTCGCGCGTCCTCCTCTCCGACTCCCATGTGCGTCTGGGGAGGGGTCGGCTGTGGCGAAGTAGCCGGCCCCTCGCCAGCATCCTGGGTGCCGGGGCCGGGCTTGCCGGGCAGCCCACCCTGGGCGAGCCGCTGCTGCTCGAGTGCCTTGCGCTTGGCCGCATCTGCGGCGTGCTGCTGCTGGGTGCCGGTGGCCGACGTCAACTTGCCTCGGGCCGCTCCGGTCGACAACATCTGCCTCTGCTCCTCCTCGGCCCTCTGCTGTCGGCGCTGTTTCTCCGCCACCATGACCTTGGCGGTGCGGACCATGGCGTCGGCCTCCCGGCGCGCTGTGTCGACGTCTGCTTGCGTGACGGTGGGGGCTTTGGCCGCTGCTTTGGCCGCTGCTTTGGCCGCTGCTTTGGCCGCTGTTTTGGCTTCGAGAGCTTTCCTCTTGATGCGCAGGACCTCCTTGATCCTGGCTTGCATATCCTGCGGCTGTGCATCGAGTGTCTGCGGTTTCGGGGGGGCGGGGCCGGCGTGGGGGTGGAGTCCGGCACGTCCGCCAGGCTTTCCATGGTGACGTCTTCTGCTTGGGCGTCGACCGTCGGCTCGTCGGTGTACAGGATGGGGTGCGCCGGGTCGCTAAGCTCGTCCTCGTCGCCGCTTGCCCCGTCGTTGTCCTGGGGGGCGGGGCTTGGGGAGAAGACCCTCGACGGGCTGTTGTCTGTGTCGGCGTCGACCATGGCGGCGTCCGGCTCGGTGGCGTCGTCCTCTACGTTCTCGGCGTCGTCGTCCTCGGCGTCTTCGACCTCGGCGTCTTCGACGTCGGCGTCCTCGTCTTCTGGGTCCGAGCTGTGAATCTCCCAATCCTGCTCTTCCGAGCGTTCGGCGGGCAGTTGCGGTTGCTCAGGTACCACGCGGCTGACTAGGGGGGGTGGGGGTTTGACCGGGAATGTCGTGCGGATGTGCTGCAGCACTGCGTACTTGTAGGACCGCTCGTCCCATGGCTGGTTGAACACAAGACCGGGGACGGGCGGGTTGGGGACCACCCCCTTGCTTTCAAATGCCTCGACGATGGCGGCGCTGTCTCTCCACAGCCGCTCTCTGCTCAGGGTATCCTTGTCTAGGTTGTAGTCGTCTATGGGCTCCTCACTCCACGCGTACTCGGCATTGTAGTTGAACGTAAGGAGCGAAGGGATTTCGAGCAGGTCGAGGCGCCAGACTCTGGGGTCGAGGACGGACTCGGCGTGTGCCTGCGTCATCGTTGCAAAGCCGGCGGGAAAGCCTATCTGCCACCTGAGCAGTGCAGCCTCTTCGTAGCTGAGCTTTTGCACCAGGGGCTCCTTGAACGGCTTGACGCGTGGCTTCTTGGGCTTCTTGGGCGTCTCGCGTTGGCGGCTTTGGAAGGAAGGCCTGCGCCACGGTTCGACGGGCTTGGGCTGCTGGGTGGGCTCTTCTTGCTGGGGTGGCTCCTGGAGGGATGTTTCCTCGGCGCTTTCCGGCGCCTCGGGCTGCTGGGGGCCGGGGACGGAGACGGCGTAGCCTCCTAGCGCGGGGGCGATGCTGTCGGACACTTCGCTGCGGGGGAACGACAGCATAGCGACCCTGCTGACGATATCGGCGCTCGTGTCGGCCTCGTCGTCTTCGCCGGCGTCTTCTACTGTGTCTTGCGGTGTCTCTGCGAGGGGCGTCGGGACGTACTCGGAGGACTGCTCCGTATGTTGGTCCTCCGGCTCGTCGTCAGACGCCGCGCGCATGTCGGATGCGGGAACCTCGTCGATCGTCGTGAGCGTGTCGCCGGGCTCTGGCCTCTGTGCGCTGTGCGGCGGCGATGCCGGCTCGTCGTCCCGGGGGGACAAGGTCTCGCTGCTGATCATCACGCCGTCCTTGAACACGGGGGGGGGTGTGCAGGGACCAGTGCTTTTTGGGTTTGTTTTTTTGACTGGCCCGAGTCACCTCCTTGCGGGGGCCAGTGGCTGGCTTGCGTCTACCTATAGCAGACCTGTGAGTTGTTAGTCATTATGGCCCTGGCTATATCGAAATAGCTATATTGATGTGATGTGTGATTGGGGCTGGCTGTATCGAAACAGCCATGTTGGTGTGGTGGGTGGTGTGGGGGCGGCTGTATCGGAATAGCTAGGTGACTGTGGTGGTTGTTGGGGGCTGGCTGTTGTGAGACAGCCGGGCTGTTGCGATATAGCCTCGTTGGTTGTTGGGTGTCCTGCGTGGGCGGCCCTGGCTGTAGGGAAATGGCAGATGGATGGGACTTACACGAGGTTTCGCCTCTTGCTCTCGTTGGGAACTCTTCTCTTCGAACTCGAACTGGGATTTTTGCTGATTTGGGGTTGGCTATTGTGAAATGGCCTTTATGTGGTGTTGGGGGATCTCGATTCCAGGAGGGGTGGGCTATTTCGAAATAGCCTTTTTTCCTAAAGTGTTGATGAAGATTCTAAGTTGCGAATAGGCGCGAAAAATTCAGAGGCGCCGTGCTCTACCTGTGCCTGGCCCATGGGTGCCCGCATTCTTCTACGTATTTTCCTATGAATCTCTAGGTTGTCTGTGGGCCCTTAAATCGCGTCCGCGAGGCAGTTGATGGATAGACAACTCAGGGTGGTTTTCTGGTGGCCCGCGCGCGCGATCTCTACCTGCGCGCGTCCGTCTGCGTCGGCTCAGGCGTCTATCGCTAGAGTGGGCCGCGACAGGGTCGGCTGTTGCGCAATAGCTAGGGGTGGCTGTATGCGTGTTTCTAGTCGGCTGTTCCGAAACAGCTAGGGTCTCTACGAAGAGGGGGGCGCGCAGGTCTTAGTTGCCGCCTCGCTAGGTGTCGCTCTGACCAGGGGGTGGGCGGAAACGCGTTCGGTGTGCGGTGTCTAGGGGGGGGGTAGGCGCGTTCGGTGGTATGCGCCTGGTCTAGTGCGTGGTTCTGCAAGTGCAGGCCTCTGCTAGTCCGGTGCGGCCATCCCTGCTGGTCGTCGCCCAGTCTAGCGTGTGCCTCGCTGGCGTGTGCCTTGCTGGCGTGTGCCTTGCTGGCCCCCTGTCGCTGTCTCCGGTCTCCCTCTGGGTCTGTTGGGACTCTTCGTCGGTCTCTTCTCTCGCGGTGTTCCTCCTTGCGTTGCCCGTGCGCCTGTTGTCTCTTTCCCCGGCGTCGCGTCTTCCGTCGTCCCTTCGCCGGCCCTCTCCCTAGGCGGCCGCGGTCCCCGCGTCTCTAGCGACGCGACTCCGCTGCGGTGTTCCCTGCGCGGCGGCGGTGGTGCTTCTCGCCGCTGGCCTGCTCGTCCGGTCATGTGGTGCGCGGTGGTGTTGTGATTTAAGTGGAGATCACAGTATACACAACCAGCTAAAGACCTACTTATAATAGAAAGCTAAAAAGGAATAATAGTATATAGATAAAGGAATTAAGTTTAAAA